TGGCAAGGGTGCTGCCCGTCTCCTGCCCCAAAAAGCTGTGCCCCCGGGTATTAGTTTGTTTGAATACATGCCCAGAATAAAGACAAGCTCAACAGACATTAAAACACTACAAAAAATCTTTTATTGCAGTGAGAATAAAAAAAAACCTACTGACAAAGAGAATCAAAAGCTAAAAAAGAATACAAAATAACTACTTTATCGGTTGGCATTCATACAATACGACAAATAACTTTTATTATATTATTAACTAGAAAAAAGGGAATTAAAAGGATTCCAAAAAAGGATATAAAACATTTGCTTTCTCAGTTGCTTCCTATCAATAAACTGTGCTTACCCACACAGACAGGTCAGGGCTGCCAGGATCTGCAGCAGCTGGTCGGTGCCCATGCTTAGCGGGCGTCCCCGCGGAGCAACACAGTTTCGGTCGTAGGATGAGTATCACTCACCCCAGCAGTCCTGACACCCCATTTTAGCAGCTCTACATTACACCACGTAGGGCCAGTACGTAGTATAAGGTGATGCCTGAATGGCAGCCAAACACCGCCTAATCATTACCTAATGGCAACAGTCTGCGCATGCCCTACTTGTGGGGCAAGGGGCGAGCGACCCCTGCCCACACAATCTTCCTCCCACCATCATCTTTCTCACCCCTATGGATGACCTCTCCCATTGTGTTTCAAGGGTAGATGTATCTATCTTGCAATATGTAGCAAAACCAAGAAGGAACTCAGCTCTGATAATAGGGGATATCAGACTGACTTGCTAAAAAGCACAATGGACCTTACAATTAGCTTGTGCCATGAAGTTACATTGTACCATACTCTAGCTGGTTTCACATCCTAATATGAGTTTCTTTATCACCCTCTATGCTCCATTGATCATCTAATTCAAAAGTACCCCCTTACATCAGCGTAAAGACATTCATCAGCTTAGAGAGCTGGTTTGGTAACTTGAGTTTGTATATGTTCTTTCCCTCTTCTGGAGTTGAATAAGCATGGTAAACAAGAGGACTTTCCTGCATCCAGAAATGCTGCTGTTTCTGATTTTGATTATCCTTGCTGTGCCTTTGGAAAGCTACATGCCAAGTGTCAGATCAAATTTTGTTCCTTCAGTCAGTGTTCAATCTGAGTGGAGGACAAGCAGATTGTTTACATGGCAGATTTTGGAAGTTATAAGCAGGTTTATTTTATTTTATTTATTTTATTTTGGAAGAAGAGGGAAGGAAAGTGGCTGTTGGCATTTGATGGGATTAAATTTTTTGCCTTTTCCCTTGGAGGTTTGTTTTTAGCTGCTTCCTCATGACTCCTTGCAAAGCCAAATTTCTGGAAAGCCTAGAAAACTATTACTGATAGCTCAACTTCTGGTTTTTTTTAAACATTATCAAACACACCAGAAAACCTGCAGTTAGGAGGACAAAACCTTCTCTTCTTTTAGAACTGATGTTGAAGTCTGTCCTGACTTTGAAGCTAAAGAATGTCTGCTTGTGAACATAGGAAGAGTTTTAGGGGTTCTGGATGTGCCACAGCTCTTGTTATTTTGGTCTTTTAAAGCTTGAGGTTAATCCAGACTTGCATCTGCATGACTGGCATGTGTTGGGGGCACAGCTGGAACCGTTTCTGCTGTTGGCTTCCTAGGAAGGAGACAGCATCAACCTGGAGACAAGTTGTTTCCTTCAAGGCACTGCTTTTTGTGCTGACACATTGTTGCATGACTGGATTTGAACTGTACTTCCATAGGAAGTGATCAGACTGCTGTGACTGCAGCACTGCTGGTTAAGTCACTGGCTTTTAGGTAGACTTTTGGGGTGCATCATATCAGTGAAAGCAATTAACATCTAAACAGATGAACTAGGTGAGCCACGAGATGGAAAGGAAGGAGGAGGAGAGGAAGACAGGGTAGCAGGAGCATTTGGGAGCCCTCACAGAGGGGAAAGCTTGTTTCACTGCGCTCAGGGTACAGATCCGTGCTGTGAGTCAGGCTGGTCATCCTGCAGTTTGAGTCGTTCCACACTGGGATCCAGGACTTTTCTCTAGTGAGATACTTTAAGATTAGCTTTGCTGGTAGTATTGATTTGGCACTTTGTGTTACTATCTAAGTGGGGTGACTCAAATGTCATAGCTGAAGGTGGTCTCCAGTTCTGCACACGGCTGCAGTTGTGCTAAAACATAGTAAATCTTGGGTGACCTTGTTCCAGCCAAACCCTGGATTCTCACATTCATGCCCAACAGGCTGCTTACAGCTGTTACATTTTGACATGGACCCTGCATTGCCATGGAGAACGGTGATATCCTTACCTCTTCCTGTTTCTCACTTACTATGAGACCCCTGGTGGCCTAGTGGTTAGCGTGCAGGACTTTCACTGCTGCGACCACGGGTTCGATTCCCCGGTCTCCTGGCCTGATGGAGGTCGTTAGCCCTGTGTGGCCATCCATCTATGAGAAGGACACTCTAAACAAACCTACGTCCTGAGGACCTCACTGCCATTGTCCAAGCTTGCTTGGCCCCGGCAGATGAACCTTAGGATTAAAGGGTGGGCTCAGTTCAGCGCAGGCTGTGTCTCACCTAAAAAATCCATTGCGCAGGCTGGAAAGGTAAAAGACCTTTCCCCAAATCTTCGTTCGCGAAGATGGGCCATTATATATGTAGAAGAATTGAACTGTTCTGTCAGATGTTCTTTACACTGCTTTACTTGGTCTTTTTTCTCTATCAATGTAATGCCAATACTAATTTCATTGTCCCCATTGAAACATCTGGAATGAATTGTGGCAGTACAATTTATTTTGCAGGTTTTGAATCTCCTAACAGAGAAGGAAGTAAAGCTAGTTTTGCCAACAGTTGCCATTGTTCCACGGACCTTCATTCTCAAGCCAGGAACGGCCTTGTTTTTAGCAGCCTTGGGACGTATAAACTACTTACAGGTAAGGGAAGAAAGGATTTTGGGAACAGCTGCTTCATTTCTTACTATAGTACCAGACATGAAAGGCTTTTTGGGTAACTTTCCCAGACCCTTTTTTGCTGCTTTGAGATGATGAATCTGTTAATAAATAACTGCATAAGATCAGAATGCCTTGGGAATGCCAGAATTAGCTGGGAAAATAAGTGGGTTTCCTCATTTCTGTGTTTTGTGAAAGCTGGCTACCAGGAGAGAAAAGCATGGACATTTTTCTTTCCTGACACAGACTTGTGAAGAATTTGCCAGAGGAAGTAATTAATTGCATATGTATTTTAGTTTCTATAAAGATATTTTTAAAAGGTATTGTGTGTCCCCACTCCCAATAATTTCTTCCATTTATTATAAATCCCATACCATACACCTTTACTGAACTGCGTGGAGCTGACCTCCAATGATATTTCTTCCACATAGACATTATCATAAGTGCTAGAACCTTTTCTCAGTAGTTTGCCCTGTTTTGGAGGTGTGTATGGCTATTCCTTTGTTTCAGTCAGCTTTCCAAGATCACCATAGAAATGTTGAATCGGTACTTTGCTATGGACATTCTTGACCTGCTGAAAGAAAACCAGAAAGGTGGAGGGAGCAGGATTCTGTAAGTAATAATGTACTGGTATGGCAGGAGAGCTCCATCATAGCTAAGGTGAAAATCCAGAGCCCTGTTCCAAAAAAACAGCTTGGCAGGACAGAGTAGTAATGCCCTACTCAGAGGCAAAGATCTCTCTGGCTTGATTTGCCTGAGTTGAGCAACTGTGATGGCGGGAGATGGGGCATTGGGGGTGCTTTGAGGCAGGATGGTGAAGCTGTGGGCGCTTCTGTCCTGAAAGCTCAACTCCCCAGTTGATATAAACCCTGGCTACTCCACAGTGGCAGAGGCAAGGACCCCTCTGACAGGGAGGGGACATCAGGCAAGCAGTTTTTTAACATGCAGGAAAGAAACGGGACAGGAGAGAGAAATTCAGGACTGCTTTTCTGTTACCATAATTAACATCCTCTTGTTATTTATTTCTACCACCTAAGGAGTCTTTCTGCTGTGCCTTTTGCAACCGGTCTTGTCTATCTCGTATTGTCCTTTTTAGCCACCAACACGCTTGTAGCAAATGTGGGTAGAGCCCTCCCCAAATCTTCGCGAAGCCTAGCCATGATGGTTATTTATTTCAGGGAGAAAAGTCTGCCTGGTTTTCTGTCGTGGCTTCTAACCTGTTGCCAGTCCACATCACTACCCTGAGTAACGCAGATGCCATCTACGAGAAGCACGCTGGCCGAGAGAGGAGGTGCTATGAGGGGCTCTTGGCTGCAGGCAAGCAGCTGTCCTGCCTGGTGAAGCACCCTGACTGGGGCACAACTGACAGGGAAAATCCACACGTATCAGGAGTTTGGGACTTCTGCAATGGAAACGTGCAGTGTGGAGCACTGCACTTGCAAAGACTGTGTGGCTGCAGGTGTGATAGGAGAGAGCACTTGAGATGGTGTGTTTTCAGGAGAGCTTCTGTTTCTGGCATTCAGGCTGATAAGATGTGCAGTGGTCTGCTCTCTGATACTTGGCTCTTCTTGAACTGGCTTTAAGTGCAGGCAACAACAGGGATATTTTCCATGGCAAACCTTCAGACTGGGGTTTCAGCACAGGTTGCAGTTGAAAAATGTACCTTTCTTATTCTTTACCTGCTGGATCCTCTGCACACCTCTTCGTCTTTCGGTGGTCTGACTTCTTCCTTGGTATGACAACGTACTGTGTAGCACTTGCAGATTGTTGGGAGATGGGGTGAGCTGTCCCTGTCCTGGCATTCCCATTCCTGGGCACATGGAGAACAAGTGCTGTCACTCACGTCAAGGCGGCTGGCCTGAGCCACCAGCTGTGTCCTGCAGTGGGCACTCCATCTTTGCTCACCTCCCATGGGGCTCCTCTGAATGTGATACTGATTCTGGCAAACCTGAAATAGCTCCTGTAGATTATTCCAACCAGCTCTTAATTGGCTAACAAATGTCTCATATGTTTATTCCCTCTTGTGCCTTGCTTGCCAGTTTAAGGTAGGAGTTCTGAAGGATTTCTTGACTATGAAATCTTTTCTCCGTGTTTTGATCTTAGGTTCCCATGGGTGGGGAAGAGCGAATGAAAGAGTTCCCCCCACTTGTCCCTCAGGACATTACACTGAAAGGAATTGGTACCACTGAGGCAGTTGCAGATATCAAGCTTTCCTCTGCAGGTAATTTAATATTTCTTCATTAGTTTGCTTTGCAGGGTCTGCATCCTAGAAACATTGATGGGAAGAGATCTCTGAAGGGGTGAAGCCATATTTCCTGCTCAGAGCAGGACTGTCAACAACACAAAATCACAGCAGCCATGGCTTTGTCCAGCTGAGGCTTGACAACCTCCAGGAATGGAGATTGACAGCCATGTTTGTACAGGACGGCCACAATGGAGTGCTTTATGTTCTGGCTGCCATACAGGTTCCACAGCATCAGGAATGGCTGTGACACGGTTGGCTGTCCAGGTGAGAGGGAAAGGGCCATTGATAGGAAAGCTTTATTGCGTTTTTGGTAGTTCCCACCATCCTTTTTCAGTTTACCAGGAAGGAGCTATGTCTAGGGAGAGTAAGATGTGGCTTTAGGTGCTGCCTTCTATTTGGAAAGAGCTGGATATGACCTTTGAGCTTAGTTTCTCAAAGAAATCACACATAGGTAAGCTCAGGTTCTCAGCCACTATGGGAGGCAGTAGTTTGTGTCAGAACCCTCATTATGATCCTGGGGACTTGTCTCACTGTCTGTATTCCTTTTGGCTGTGCAGGATGGGTGGCAGTGACAGCTCATGCAGAAGAGGAATTGCTACTCCAAGCCTATACTCCCAAGGGCACCACGTTGGTGGTGCGGGAGCCTCCTCTTTTGCCTTACATCAGTTCCATCCGAGGGTCCCGGATCGCAGGCACCGCTGCCTACAGGACCAAAAAGCCTCCCTCCCTTGTGGAAAACCTGAAAACCACGGGGAGCAGATAGCACTTCTTGTCATCTGAACAAGACAGAAGGCAGAAGAGCCTCTGGAGAACCTTGTTGCTTATTGATATTCAGAAGACCTTGAACTCCTTTTAAAAGGCAGACAGGCACATTTTGGAAAGCAGGTGTGGGGGGAGCTCCATAAGTTCATACCTGATGCAGTTGCCGAACTGCAGCCAATTTGAATGAGCTGAGTGGCTGGTACCTTGCTGTGAGAGGTGAAACAGCTTCTCCCTGGGATCTGCCAGTATCTATGAGCAAATCCCTTTACCTGTCCCCTCTTGAAATACGGGATGGAAACTCACCTGCCTGACCTGGGCTGGCTCCACTGCTTGTAGAGTAGACGGCTTGTTGCAGACATGCCCCTTCAGGTCAGAAATTGTCACCTTGTTCTTGGAGGTTTTACAGTGTTTCCACAGTTACGGAGGTGGAGGGAATTGGAAAGAACAGGGAATGCTCTGTCATGGTTGTGACTCTCCTAATTGTAGTGGCTGATACTGATTCAACATCGACCTTTCACTCCTTCAGAATCTGAGGCAGATGAGGATGTGCAGTGCCCTGCTTTTGGACACAGGAGAGGTGAATCAATGAAAAGCAGGTCTCCTGATGTGTGTGAAGAGGAAAATTTTACAACTCACTGCTTTGATTTGGTTTCTGCGGATTGTGTAAAGGTTTTTGAAACTGAGGGTGTAAAATAAAATTTTTCAAAGACACTCTTTTGTATCCTTTTCAAATAGTTGACAAAGTGCTCTTGTGTGGACATGAGCATCTTGACAAATACATGAAAACTCCAGCGCGATAATGTGTGCTAAATCTGCAGAGTGAGAGAGAGACATAACCAGCCAGTTTGCTGAAGAAGAGGCAAAAAAGAGTATTTTCTAATCTCTCCTTACCAATACTCTCAGTTTTCCCCACCCAAACTGCTGATGTCACAACCCATCAGTCAGGGACACAATACATGCAAATTCTCATCAGGCTGAACAAAGACACCAGGCGGGTACCAGGGAGTTCCCGTGCTTTATGGTACAGTCACCATAACTCTGGCAACCAGCCCAGGAGTTAGACTCAAAAGGTCTTGGCCAAGAAGCCCTTAAATTTTTTACAGTACACTTCTCAGTATGGTGGCTAAGAGGCCCTTAATTTCTTACAGTACACTTCAACAGGTTCTCAACTGCCACAGGAGTGCCACAGGTTGTGCTTGGCCCAACCTGCCAAGCACAGCTGATGAGGAACTGCTCCTGCAGGAGGTGACAGAGAAGGTCCACTGTCTCAGCATGCTGGCTGCAGCCTTCCTGTCCAACCCAGGTGTGGCTGCTCAGCGGTCTCTGGATGGCTCATGCCTCGAGTAAATGCTGGTGGGGTGGCTGCCTGGAAGAGCAGGCTTAGGCCTGATGGGAAAGGCTGCTCGGTGTGTTTTCAGAAGGCAGCTGGTCTGGGCTTCCTCTGCATGTGTGCAGGTGAAGGTGCTGGTGGGTTTTCTGCAGACTCCTCTGCAGAACTGCAACTTCTCTGTTGTTCCAGATGTTGCTTCATGTTTGCTGCTGGAAGTGCTGTGGCTCCTGTGCCCCCCCCCCCGCTGATGTCCAGAATAAAACGATCTTTTCTCTCCTCTGACTCTGTCTGCCATTGGATATTTTAGAGAGTTGTGGGTGGTGGCGGTGTGTCGGGGGGTACCTGTCGTGAGGTCTTGGTCCGAGGGGAAAAGAAGGACACACAAGACACACGAGGATGGTGAGACAAAGAGATGTCTGCCTGCTCAGCGCAGCAGGCAGCCTTTATTGAGTTTGCCAACTTCACACACAACACAAACATATTCCCACAACAACACCCAGGAATCCAGCACCTGCACATTATCAAACCGTCTTAACCTTGTACTCCCTGCAACCCAAAGCCGTGTCCATGGAAACCATCTAACCAGCTCCACTGCTCCCATGGAACATGGCCTCACTTTTGCACTACCTCAAACTTTAATTGTGGGGCTTCCCCCCACAGCGGTGCAGGTGCTTCAGGGGTGTCAGGGGCTGGGCCCCATCTTTTGAGAAGGATGAGAAGATCCTCAAATGCCTCCAGTGGAGAAGTCTTCTTTTTTGTACTCACCATGGTTATGTGGCTCAGCTTGATTATGGCTGAGTGCTTTAAAAAGGAAAGAAGGTGTATTTTCAGCACCCTAATAATAAAGTCAGTGAAAAATTAAATAAAATGGTATTCAACTGAAATTTAGGGGAGTGATGTGTCAAAGGCAGCTTCTTTGCGCAGAAAAGTACTGAGTGGCGGGATCACCACACTGTGCACTTGGAAGGCTTAAAAATTTGGGTGGCATAAGGAGAGATAGGAGAAAGACTGAAAGCAGGAGCAAAGGTCACTTGTTACTGACAGGAAGCACCAACAGAAAATGTGCTTCCTTAAGGTCTTGATATGCTAATGGTGTCCCCCTTAATGAGTTTGGGGAGAGATTGGAGGAGATGGAATATGAAGTAGGCTGCAATACTAAAGAGAGAATGAATTAAACTGTAGGCAAAAGAGGTTAGTTGAGAAGACAAATGAGACAGCAATGTGGTCTGCTAAAAATGAGTAAAATCCTGATTAGTTGTGTCCTGACACAAGAAGTTAGGGAACTGACTAAATAGTGGATGATATGCTACCTCCGAGGTTGAAAGAACATTTGCTAATGTTGCTGTTGAAGTTGCTGCTGTACTAGGGAGAAAAATGGGAAAAGTAAAAGCATCGAAGAAGGTAGTAGGAGAAGATAGGATGCTCCTTCTTTTCTCTCCCATTTATACTTTGTAAAATGAAATTACGGCTGCATGGAGGAACTCTTGTTCCTTCTTCATTTCCATAGCTTAAATCACTAGTAGTAATGCATTTATATTGCCCAAAAAAAGAGGAATTAATGTTTTGGAAGAAAAAATAGTAATAACACCTACTTTCAGTAAAGTTCTCTTTAAAAAAACCTCTAGTATTTTAATCTGTGGAGCAATCTTGGCTCTTTCTGTGTAATCAAACACCTTAATTGTATTTGCTAGTGCTCCTAAAGCTTGGCATATAAATTTTTGATGCAACAGATTTGAGTGGATTTCGTTTCTGTTGCTGCATAGGTGACAGATGTTATTATTTATTGTAATTCCTGAGATGGAAAGTGTCTATCTTGGCTGTGAGCCTAGTCTAACTTTGCAGTTCTTCCAGTTAGGAAAGCTTTTTGTCTGCCACCTGTGAATCTTCTTTTGGAACTGAATCACACTTGAAGGTCATTTCTTTCCAGGGAGTGTGTCTTCTAGAGGATTGCAAGATAAATTTATGTTTTCATATAATACTTATAGTTCTGATTGACATGGTCTTCAGTTGGAAAAGCCAATACTGAGTTTAGAAATTACTTCTGGAATAAAGCTACTGTTGCTTTTGACATTGTGTAAATTGTTTCAGTGGGCAGAATGATATAATTTCTGTAGTTTCAGTTCGTGTGTGTATCTCCTTGATGTCCATGAATAGAAAGAAAACCAGAAAAAATCCAAGTGGTCACTTTATAATTGATGAATCAACCCCTACTTGGAAGGTACCACTGATGAAAAGGTAAAGAAATGCATCATTGAGACACAGTCCCAATCTGAAAACAACAACTGTAGGAACTCAGCTTCAAACTAAGATCTAAAGTCATGCACAGAAAGTGTAAAACCCTGTTCAGTGTCAGAACTGGGCATGAGGGTTTTGGTTAGTTAGTTTGTTTGCTTTTTCAGTCAAGTAGCACTTATTCACATGTATACAGGCCCTGGAGCATCAAAAAAGGGTGTGGTTTTCTTTGTGGGGTGAGTCCAGCTGCAGGACTGCACTGGGAAAAAA